GCGCGAAAAGCCTCAGGTATCATGGACTACCCTTCGCGTGATATCAATGTGACCTGAGAACGCCATTGCTTGTCGTTCAGGTACTGGCAAACTATTCGGTTTCTGACGCTGTCGCAACGTATTATCTGTACACACAATACGTTCATCCATTCGTTTTCGCTCTCTGTACAATCATTCCGATGGAGCCGGACGAGGTATGCGAAGTGCAATATATTAATTAAAGTATGTTATACTCTGCGCGCTGCTTTTGCACAGTCATTATTATGACAATTGATAGTTGGGGTAGTATAAATGCAAAAGTACTGATTGCGAAAGTATGTTAATTGCGATCGTTCGCTTGAGCAGTTTGCAGTCGCGGAACGACTTCAATCGGTGGTATCCGCCTCTGTCCTAGCTCTTCAGTACTTGACCGTATAACGGCGATTTCGGCATTACAGAATGAGCCACTCTTCACTCAACGCAGATATGTTTCTACCCCGTACATTTATGTTACCTGCTGGTCTCCTGGTTGATGCCTGCTGTGTTTCGTTGCGCATATGGTAGGTTCACTGGCTGGGGGTTAAATCTTTATGCTGTTGTCAAACAGAACTAATATGACTTTCACGATCTTTAGTTGTGCTGTGATACGTGCGCTCATAAGAAAGGAGTATTGTTAGCGTAATCATGCCATCTGACCATCAGTACGGGTCATAGCCAACGTTTCGATGCCCTTCCTGGTTTAGAGTTGAAACAGTGATCGTTATGCCGTTTAGCTGTAGTGCCCTGGTTGAAGCAAGACAGAAGCAAGTTTTCTGGAAATAAATATTTCTTCATCATTGCATCTGCATATCGAAAAAACTACCAAAATCTTTAGAAACACAGGTGATTTTATTTGATTATAACGGCTGATACTCTAACCGGAAGTGATGGAAAATGCTTCATTGGCCGATTTCCATTTTTGTTTCATCTTCTTGCAGTACCTCATAATCTGGTCTAGATTGATTCCTCATAAGTTTGAACGTTAAGTAGGTCAGCTTTCTCTCCCGCACTCCACGCTGAGGTGGCCAAATGGAGGAGACGTGTCCTTTACTCTCATCAGAGCAGTATTTTTTGTGAACTTCAAGCTACCAGATGTCTGACCTTGTGTTATTAACTACGTCTGCTTTCGGCGTCTTTTCTTTAATTCAGCGAAGATTCTGTTTCGAAGGAAAATGACGCAAAAAATTGAATTGTAAATGCATCTCCACGACGGACTCCACATTTACTTGGTAATCACTCAGGATAGCCATTCTTCTATGTTGATGGCCTGCGTACGTTTCATGCCTTCTTTCTGAAATATACACGAAGCTTTAAGGTATTATTATTAAGGTATTAAGGTATTATTTTATTTAAAACCAGAATAACCCTATCCAGAAGCCAGCCTGATTTTCGATAATGACAATCGAAGTCTCCTATCAACCACTTCTGGAAAGTTGCCTTGAAGTTGATCGTAGCGTGGCATCACATTATTTGCAGTATTCGGTGGCACACCAGTTTATGCATTTGGGCAATTACCTCACGCTTTCATTCCTTCGAAAAGGTTTCTGAGGCGCATGTTTGATAAAAGGGACGTGAAGCTTTTTTAAGATTTTGTTCTCTTATATTTGTTTAATTCCCTGGAAGTTCTCACGACCTTCGCCAAATCTGTAGATCTTCGCCTCTTTGCAAGATGTAGTGAATTTTTTAGGAAGAATTTCTTTCATTTCTAAAACAAGAATTTGTTTTTGTGGATGAGTCTGCTCTAGCATCTAATGTTCGCAGAGGGTTAACAGTTGAAAGGGACAAATGTGGAGGGCAGCGATTAAAGAGCTGTTGGATTTTGTAAGAAGGTCTTCCAGTGTATCAGTGGTTTGACTTTAGAGTGAGCGGTCAGTAAGATTTTAGAAAACTGTGATCTTCATTTTAAGATTTGTAAGATTCAATGCAGTGCTATCACTATATTTTTTGGGCAGAGAATACGTTTGCCAATTTGAAAATTTCGGTGGTGGAACGTCATTGAAATCTAGTATGAAAAGTGGGATAACAATCTGTAGCCCTTTAAATTGGTGGTATTTATTACGTGATTTCAGATCAAAAGACGAATTTGTGGTGCTAATTTAACTTAAGGTGCTGCGCAAAGGATCTGGGACACTATGTGAAGCATTGCTGATGGTCAAAGCGTTCCACAACAATATCGTATTTCCAAACAAAAAGGAAAACATGCCGCTGGCAATGACAAAAGACGGCCACATGATTGATTCAGAGACGTACGTTGGGGGTCACGTCGAAGCACTTGAATCGGGCGTCTTTCGGACCGATATTCCGTGCAGATTCCGTCTCGACGTCGACGCCCTGAGGCGCTTGAGCGGTGACCTTGAGCGAACGCTGCAGACGGCGATCACGGCTGAACGGATACCTATGACTTCTGTGAAAAATTTTTTGGAAGTACTTGCGTTTTACCTTCGGTATCTGTTTGTACTCATGCTGAAAAGTTTAGAAATGCGAGGAAGTACGTGGAAAACTGCGCGAACTGATCGAAAACCCAATGAGGTTGGACACGCCACTGATCTATCATCTGGATGTTGGCGCCATGTATCCAAATATCATTCTAACGAACCGTTTGCAGGTAGGCTGCCGAACTGCGCATGATGTGGTTTGAAAACGCACAGTTGACAATTCGTCCCTTCTTCATATGCACCAGACGGTTTTTAGCCGACAGCGATCGTGAACGACCGAATCTGCGCCGTCTGCGACTTCAACAAGCCGAAAGCGAGGTGTCAGAAGTCGATGGAGTGGATGTGGCGGGCAGAAACCTGTTTAAATTGAGCAATTCTGTCTGTATGTTGTCATTGATGGTTTGCTTTAGCGCCTGCAAACCGCAGTGAATACCAGCGAATCGTACAGCAGCTTGAAAATGAAAAGTTTCCTTTTCCGTTGTTGGGTGCCGGCTTGCATACCTTTCACTCGTTGCCCAAGGAAGAGCGGCAGAAGATCGAGAACAAGCGTCTACAAGGTACGCGATTTAACATTGAGTTAATGTAAACCAGGCCATAAGGTCGTCCTTAAATTAGTCAAATAAAACTTAAGGTGTTTCCAGGAAGCCAAGCAGCCGCCATTTCCAAAGAGCTTCCACAATAAAAGGCGTGGACCTGGATTTATCCAGAAACTGATGTCTGATATTCGAATTTTTGCTCACCTTTCCTATTTTCCGGAAAATTCTAAGTTTCTTCAGGAAGTAAAACTTGTCTCAGAACCCTATATTTTCCCGCATGATCCGCAGCAGTTACTTTCGCTACTTTTCCACCTTTAATTCACAGTCGTGATCCGGTCAGCAGACTAATTTGGCCCCGACACCATTTACTCACTCCGCACTTTGTGATCCAAATTCAGGTGTCACGGGGTTTAAAAATATATTATTGTATCGTAATACGGTCTCGCTGTTCATCAGTTGTCTGTTGCAATGCAATATGACGAATTATAAGGCAAGTGAGATGCGCATTGATCTTATTACCTCGTGTCTTCGAGAAAACGGATTCATTCAGATTACTAAAGCATTGGATGAGGTTTAACTTAGCGCCTAAGTCTGAATTGTACCATTCTTTGCCACAGGATACATTTTGCACCATTTTTGCCAGTACAGCAATGTGTTGCTTTGCGCTTAAGTGCATTCCTGAGAAGCTGATTTAAAAAAAATTCACCAGATTGCGACATCGTTTTAATTAAAATAGTGTTTTTAAGAGGAGAGTAATTCATAAACTTGATCAAAGCTCCATAATTTCCCTAATGTAAATGAAAGGTATTTGATGTATGCTAGGGTGTTACCTCTATGACATGCATTTGAAGAATGCGCTGCTATATACTGCTTAAGCCATGCTTCATTGGGCAGAACAAGAGTTTTTCGTTCAGCTAGTTTGTGAGAGCATTAGCCGATATCGAATGAGATGGATCGAAAAATGTGCATGTAGCGTAAAATGAATGTAAAATCGGAACAGTTGTCGTAGCGTATCAGCGCATGAGAAATATTGCTGCTTTGCTTATAGTAGTCAGTGATGCAATGCTAATTTATATAGTTTTTAAACCAATAGCTCCGTCGGAAGATTTTTGTTTCTTCTTCATTTGCTGTTCAATAGACTGCAAGGGCAGCAGCTTCAGATTTTTTACTCTTTGCAGATCAAATTCCAAGCCATGATATTCCAAATATTCAAAATTCGATAAGTCGTAGCTCACTTCTTAAAATCGCGCTTAGGAGGAGTTGATAATTCTTTTTTCCGTCGAATTTTCTTTAGCAGTTATCAGCTGTACAAATCGTTTTCTTCATCATTCTCTTGTCCTTGATCAATTCTTCAGTCCTCGTAAGTTTAATTTCGTTTTTACAACATCGCGCTACCTTTTCGACTGTCACTTCTCCCTGACGTTATTAGTATATAAACCACATTGATTGCATAAGGCAGCGGTACAAGTTTGTTTTCAAAAGTTGAATCTTTCTTTCTGTCCTTGTTCATTAGGCAGCGAAGAGTGAAATGTGATGGGATTTACGAGGTGCTTATGTTGTGCGTTGGATGGGCTTTGAGCAAATTAGGAGTTTGATGTTGCGATGACCGTCTTAGTGAGCACTCTCTTGAACGTTGCAGTTATTTTTTATAGACTACTGCCGCAAAGCATATAAGCGTATTCATGAAACACGCATGGAACTGAGAAAAACGGTAGTTTGTCAACGCGAAAACTCGTTCTACGTCGACACGGTTCGGGCTTTCCGCGATAGGCGCTACGAATATAAGGCGATGCTGAAGGTTTGCTGTTAATTAAGTTAATTGGCCGTTGTCGTTACTTTGGCTAAAGGGCGCGAAGGCGGCGTTAGAAAGATCGTTGCAGAGCGGTGACGCATCAGAGATCAGAAGCTGTCGATCGAAGGTAGTTTTGTACGACAGTTTGCAGCTCGCTCACAAGTGCATTCTTAACTCGTTCTACGGCTACGTAATGCGTCGCGGGTAAAATCTGGCTCAGATGAATTTAGTCGACGGAACTCGCACACGTCGGTGTTTTGCAGGTCTCGGTGGCATAGCATGGAAATGGCCGGCATCGTTTGCTATACGGGTGGGAACATAATCAAAGATGCTCGTATACTCGTTGACCAGATAGGGTACGATGAAATTTTTCAAACTTTGGTATCTTTGTTGCCAAAATATTCTACTGAAAGTAGGAGACCTCTGGAATTGGACACGGACGGAATTTGGTGCATGTTTCCTTCGTCTTTTCCTGGCAACATTACGTTTGAGGTCGAAAATTTGCCTAAAAGCAAAATCGTTGTCTCTTATCCCGCTGCTGTGCTAAACCTAATGGTTATTGACAAGTACACCAATGATCAGTACCACACACTGATTGACCCAGCTACACTCGAGTACCAGGTGCGTTCCGAAAACAGCATCGCTTTCGAAGTAGACGGACCTTACAGAGCCATGATACTGCCCGCGTCAAAGGAAGAAGGGAAGAAATTGAAAAAGAGGTACTGATTGTTTGAACTAATTGTTGCAGTTTTTTAATAAACTGATAGGTTTTGATGCTACAGACATCACATTTCTGAAATTCTTGTTAGCTATTTAGGCTACCATAAAACTATCACTCCTAATGTAGTACCCTCCTGAACATTGTTCATATGGATGTAAAAATGAATCATTTACTAAAGCTGCACTTCATCCACTCTCCAAACAGATGTTGTCCTGATGCGGTTTCTATCATGTTATCCGGAGACATTATGGACGATGGGTTCCAGTCATTCCATCCGTTTTTGTACTCATCTTGCATCTTTTTAAACAGATTTGTATTGAAAGAAGCGTATTTGCCAGCCCTTCTTTACCTGTGCTTCGTTTATCAGCTGTTTTGGGGTCAGTTACAATCGTTCAGGAGTCAGGGGGGTTATAATACAGTAAATTGTAATTGACCTTTGCACAAGATCTCCATGCTTTCCGGTTTCTGGAATCGGTGTTCAAGTTGGATTTACACAGTTTCTGTAAGTTCAAGAGCCTAGGCTGTTTTCGTAGCCATGGAGAACATTTCCTATATTTGAATGCTACCTTGATTCCACGAAAGGTTGGCATGTCTCATTGACTTTGAGGCATGGCTAAGATAGCTCATGATGATTATGCTGCACACTTCAATGTATATTGTGCAGTGCGGTATTGTCACAGTCTTTATCTTATCGCTATTTTTCAGTCATTCTGCTGTGGCTGGCCTCGCAAAGCTCAAGTTTCGATGTTTCGACTGAGATTGTCTTCATTATCAGTGAGACATGAAAGTCTTCACATAATAAAAAAATGGCATAAAACTCGCAAAGCAATGAAACTGTTCGGTTTAGTTTCCACATGCCTTGCCCTCATTGCTTGTGATTCATGACTCCGGACTGTGAACTGACCGATTTCTGTGAAAGGTCATAGGATTTCTGACCGGTATATAACTTGATTTGATGGTTCTGGATCTTGCTGATAAGCATGGCATTGCGAGTTCAGCGTTTTGATCATTTCAGCCGTGTTCACGTTCGCGTCAGAATGCTGAAAGAACGACCTTGACTAAGAATAATGAAAGTCTAAAATGAGGCAGAGTTTAATTCAGTGGACTGTTCACGTGTTATGCAATCCGCACCTACGCTGACAAACAGCCTGATGAATTGTGTAATGACGCTATTGCCCTGGAACCGATTGTTGGATTTGTTGGTGCTGTTTTTCTCTTTTTAATGTCTTTTAGTTTCTGGAGATGAATCTACCCCACTCACTGCTCATAGAAGGAATAACAGATTCAACTACCCAGTTTCGATTAGAATGTTTGATTGTTGCACATAGGCTAACAACAGCTGTACTTAATTTTCCAGATTGACAAGAAAACGCATCTCATTTAATCACAAGTATTTAAATTCTATTCGAAAGTTACAGTTGTCGTATTTGATTTTTAACCTTTTCAAAGATTTCTTAGAAGGCCAAAATAAGCAGCAGCTAAAGCACTGAGAAAAAAATAGTTTAAACAAATTTTCTTAGATACATCGTGTTCAACTTCGACGGATCGATTGCTGAACTGAAGGGCTTCGAAATCAAGCGACGCGGTGAACTTCAACTACTGAAAATATTCCAGTCGTCTGTTTTCGACGCCTTTCTGCAGGGTAAAAGCCTGAATGAGGTTTACGGCGCCGTTGCCAAATTGGCAAACTACTGGCTGGATATTTTGTATTCCAGGGTAGGAGCAAATTCCGTCATGCGCGTCGCTGCTGCAGTCTGTTCTTGTTTCAGGCCGTAGATTTGCCGGATTCGGAGTTGTTCGAGCTGATCGCCGAAAGTCGCAACCTCTCGAAAAGGTTGGACGAATACGGCAAACAGAAGTCGACATCGATAACTACTGCTAGGCGTTTGGCTGAGGTAAAAGACTATTTGTTTCATGCGGTAAATGCGAATAAACAGTAGCTCAATATCTGTCACAATAAACTGATTGTTAGCAGAAATTAACACAAATATACGGTCAGTTGGTCATGGTCAAGTTCGAACTCTTTAGCGGAAGTAGACTAGGGTAGTTTACAACCATAAATTAAGCATCATCGGCGTTTCTTCCAACGTAGTGCTGAATCGCTAGTAATGAGAATGAAGAAGCTTTTAAAGGCGAATGAGTTTTATTTTAGTTCATGACTAGCACCATGAAAACAGTAAAAATTAATTGGTTCTTTGTTTAATAAGAAGTTATAGTATTTAGATGATAAATCTATAGACTGTAGAGAATATTTTAATTCCGTGGCTATAGACAAAGTTGAATTCGGTCTTAAAAGTCATTAAGCCTGTTCAGACGCCAGTATTTTAGTCATGGTAATGGTCAAGACTAACAGTCTTCTGACTTTCGATTTTCTCCGATGCTTATAACAATTGATAAAAAGATTGACCTGAATCGTTTTGAATTTCAGAACATGTAACAAATAGTATGATAATGATACTGTTTTTAAGTGACAAAACACGGCGATAAGCTGTAAAAGATCATTGTTGTGCGTGTTTTTGAAAGCCAAAACTGAATCGGAAAATTTATGCTTCGCTCATTGATTCTAAAGGTTCTGATTCAGAATCGAGAATACTTTCAAATATTACTTAAGTAAACATGTAATTACTGAAGTAATTTTATTCGTTCTAATAAATGAATAATTTCATTTAGTTTTTTTGTATACATCGAAAGAGATCACTTAAGCAAACGATGTTGAGAAATTTTTAGCATTTGTTTCATTCAAATTAAGTGCTTTTCAGTTTTTGGGAGACCAGATGGTGAAAGATTCAGGTCTGAATTGCAGAATAATTATTGTGAAGTACCCTCCAGGTGCACCTGTTTCTGAAAGGTAGACGTTTCTTTGTCTGAAAGCATGCCTTCACAAATGCTCTGTTTATTTTCTACAGGGCGATTCCGTTGGATATCTTTTTCGTCGAGAAGGGCGTCTGTCGTCATTTCTTAAAAAAGTGGATGAACTTTCCGGAACTCTCAGAGCGCTGTGATATTCGAGATGTGAACGTTGAATGATAGAGAGACGTATTGTAAACCACTTGTCACCGTTTGTATTTAGATTCTCGACTGGGATTATTACATCGAGCGGTTAGGAAGTGCCATTCAAAAAATCATAACAATTCCAGCCGCTTTGCAAGGGGTAAGCTTATGATAATTTGTAGTTTTTACAGGTGCTTAGTGCAGCGTTATTCTTGCTTACATTTCTCATATGCAGGTTTATTTTTGCCTTTGTGTATATACATATATTACGAAAAGTCAAAGGATCTAATGTCAAGATGAAATGTGTGATTTTTCCGCCATAAATAGCTTAATAGTCTTAAGAGCTTCCCGTGAAACTTGAAGCTATCATTGAAACACTGGTGACGTGCCTTTGAGATTATTCTGTCCATGAGAAAGATGTATTGTAAATGTACTACGGAAGACCTGATTGCCCACATTAGTATACACGTGTCTGTCTAAAACTAAAATCCTACTACAACAGAATATTAGACAACTGCAGTTGTTGTAAATGAAGCTCCTTGATATTAGGAGTATTGAATCGCTTCAGTAACTTCAAAGTGAGTCATAAATTGCATCTGTCTGTTAGATGAACCTACTAATGGATGAACTGTGTACAAGGTTTTACAACAGTTTGCAGACACGAAATTCAGGCTCAAACTACCGCATATATGTATGCGAAATTTGGATTGCCTTCAGATTCCTTATTTGAGCACCTGCTCTGATTTTGTGTTTACTACATGCCTTGCTGTCGAGTTAATTATATTTGTTTATCATAGGTACCGAATCCGGTTCCCCGTGTTGGACACCCAGACTGGCTACACAAACGATTGTTGCAGAAGAACGACAGTCAGAAGCAGAAGAAGATAAGCGACATGTTTAAGCGCCTTCCGGAAGACGTAGTGACTTTCTTCTTGCGTGTAAAACTTGAACGTTTGGTCTGATAACTTTTTCAGGAAGCTGAACCTTCGGCTGCTCAAGATGCAGGCACAAACATTCAGAAGGCGTTCGTCGCTACAGGGACGAATAAAAATCGAGATATTTGTGACCTGGACTTCCCAAAGAGGTCCAAACATAAGCAGAGTGCAGTCGAGGATCCGTTGATGCCGTGGCGTCAGTTTATTGGACCGGTTCCAAAACGAGGACCGACTAAGGTTCGTTATGAAGCGAAATTCGATGTACGCAGCAACGTATTGCCAATGTGTTTTCAGGCCAGCCAGCTGCGGTGGCTCAGTTTTATGAAAGGGAGGTGGAAGTACTACAGATTAAAAAGACGGCAGTTAGCTTTCCGATCCATTAACGACAGTAACGGGCAACCTCCAAGCAGTGACGTCGACAGGATCGCTGGGGACAGCATGCGTGACTTTTTCCACAAAGGCAAGAGAGCGCTGTTGAACGAATCGTGGCAGATTGTGCAGGTACTGTTGTCGACCGATATTTTTTGTGTTGCTGTACAGGTTCTGCGGACGTTATCTGTCTATTCAGATAATATCGACGGCTGAACCTGGAGTTTTCAACATGTGGGTGCTGATTAGTCAAGAGCTTAGATGCCTAAAACTGACCGTTCCTCGAATATTTTACATTAATCAGAAAATTCCGAAAGATCCTGAAAACACGGAAGGTACTGTTGTTTTGCGTACTTGCTGTTGTTGTTCTCTGTTCACTTTCAATTCGCTAGCGATCGTTTCATATATTGTGCGTACTGCAAAAGTGTAGCTGTTTCTGCATCTGCTTATGTTTTTTCTCTTCCGTCACGTAATATTTTGTTCGCTCGAGCCATGTTAAAGTTTTTTGTCTGAAAACATTTGTCAGACTTGTTTGTAGTCATTAGCCTATCGTTTTCCCTGTAAAATTAAAACATCAAGTCAGATTAGTTCAGTCCATAGATATTCAGATATGCAATCAAACGTTTGTGGGCTTGAATCTCGGTTTGTCAAACCAAGTTTCGTCTTTTTCAGGCAGATGTTTGCATGCCCATATCATGTGAAAAGCATGAAACTGCAGCATGTTTGCTTACCGTATGACTGTGCACGTTGCCTCAAATAAAGTGCTTATATTTAATAACACTTAATTCAGGGCTGCATCATAATCCTCGTTTAAAAGGGCGCTTAAACAGACAACATCATGGAATTATAAAGGAGACCTGCATCTCAACGGTTACAAACTTTTGTTTTCCTTTTGCTCCTCAGCATCCATTTTTAGCGCAATTTATGACTTATTTCGTAGTACACCAAAAGGTAAAGCAATAGTTTCAGTATCCCAAACCAGACGTACTTCACTTTCTCTTGGCTCATCCGTCTTGACGGTGTTCATCGCTGCCTAGTATCGATACTCAAGTTCTACTCTCATGCAGTTTGTCGCCACTGGCTTCCATATTTTTTTGAGCTCATTGTTCCATCTGAACGAAAGTCTTCTAATTGTGCGCTTGCAGCCACTTGACTACAAATTCACTTGCTTCGATCTTTAAAAATGGTTTAGCTACTATACACATTCGCCAGGCGTCTTCGACAGAGCGTTCGTTTGCCTTTCACTCTGGCCGAATGCGTTTCCTAGTGACCGCTTTATGAGGCTTGGCCCACATGAAGTTTTCCTCGACGAATTCAGACAGCCATTTCTTCGGCGATTTCTTCTCCGCCCGACGAAGCTGTACTTCAAATCGCATGTGGTAATTCATTTATGAAAGTATTATTAAGCTTGTAAACAAGCCTACGTGTAGCATCTTCTATTCCTTTTCAAGTAGAGTGGAGCTTGTTGATGCTTATGTCTTTCGAATCTCAAGGACCCTTCAGCCGTGTAAAATAGTTTCAGATATGTTCTCAAATTCTTTCCCTTTTTTCATTACATATCTTTAGCACTGGTTACCATGCACTCATGTAGATCTCACCTTTATATAATGCCATTAGAGTGATTAGTTCATGTTTAAAGACTTACTGTTATCTTCCAGTTCTTGGTGTTTCCAAACTAGGCGATGCTAATGTCGTATAGATGACTTTCTTTGGCTCCTCGCTCCTGTTTGTGTCCCTGGCTGCAGCAGGTAAAACCTTTGTGATTTCTATTAGAAACAAGTTATGAATGCAGGCTGCTTTTGCAATGTTTCGTTGAGTCAAAATCATTTGTGCTTTTATGCTCTGAATTACAGTGTACCGAAGAGTGAATCGAATTTTACCTCGCGCAAATCCAACTCTTTATTTGTACGAATATCAAGTTCCCGAGGAGAAATTTATCGACCATTTGAGGTGAAACCTTTAAATTAAATTGTACATATTCTGCCCTTAACTTGGTATTTTCAGCGATCTGGACATCGAACTGAGCTCGCCGCATATCGAGGGGATTTACGAAACGCACGTGCCTTTGCTCTTTCGAGCTCTTGTCACACTTGGATGTTTGTGCCGAGTCAACGAGGAGTCGAGATACGACCTAATCAGAACGGGATCGGTTAAACACGTAATTTTTCCAGCGTTGATCACTAATGACTGTATTTCAGGAGTGCGAATGTTTCTCTCTAAAGCACCTGGAATATGTCAGTTTAGTCTCCGGCAGTTACTTGGAGCACAATGAACTAAAGAGCATGTTCATCTATAATTATAATCGGTACAAGTAACTACATTCTCTTTCGTATATACTGCGTTCGCTGTGATCTCACCAAACTAAACAACTCCACCGTTGCCGGTCCCAGGCCCGGATGAGAACTGAGTAAATATAGGGACCATGGCGAGGTCACTGCCGTAAAACCTTTAGCCAGTTGCCTCTCATTCTAATGCCATTTTCGCACGTTATACCAGTTCTGTCATCGCCAGGGTTACCAAGAGCAGTGTTGGCTATTTGGGAATTGAAGCAAATTGTGAAAGTTGGCGATTACAGCTTGATCAGTGTCTTTTGGCAGATATAGACGTGGCAACACGTCAACGGCTGCCGAAGATTGGCAAGAATACCACGCGATATCAGTTTGCAACGGAGCCACTACCTGCTCTGAACAGAGGAAGCAAACAGCGCGACACCGTTATAGCACTTTGGATAAGGTTTCACAGGAACGATATTGACAGTGGAAGCTCAGAGTCAGAAATTGGAGCTTACTCAGAGGTAAATACCAACAGATACTTGATGACGCTGCAAGGCAGCCACTGGATATAGTTGAATTTTCCTTAGCGAAGCGCCAGGGCGCTGGAATTTTGAGCTTCTGCTGGTGCAACCTATTTTACTTAAGTATTGATTAAACGACCTACCCTCATACCGGTGTTAGTGTTTTGGTATAACCCAACCTGGCTGATAGAATCATTGGACGGAAGTCTGTTAGCGAAAGACTGACAGTCCTCTGCCTGAGGTTGCAGCCGCTAAATCTTTGACCTTCATAGAAGTTTATGCGCCCAGGTCTGAGTGCGAGTATGAGCTCTTCCTGGAGGAGATAGATGCTCTTTACAAAATTCCCAGTAAGCAATCCATCATTCTGATTAGCGATTTCTGTGCAGATGAAGGAGCGGACAGTGAAAAGAGGAAAGGCGTCATTGGAAAGAACGGCCCTAGCGACTTCAACAATAAGGGCATGATGTTGATGCAAGAAACGGACCCGCTGTGATGAACACATTCTTTGAGTATCGAAACGTGCATCGAACTCGAAGATTGATCTGATAAGCGTATCGTTTTACTTAGGACACT